AGAAACCAAACTGCTGAATGTAACACGTTTTTGAACTTTGGTCTGTTTTCCAGCTTCTGAACCCGAACTTCATCCAAGAAGGTGAGACAACAAACATCCTGCTCACACAGCTCTGTGTTGTTTCTCTAACCTTTATTTAAACGTGAAGGTCATTGAGAGCAACGATGTCGACAGTTTATACACAGAAGTTAAATTAATTTAAAAGGTAACATCTGGGAACATCTGGGAACATCTGGACGGAGGAGAACACTTGTTTTAGATGGATAGACGTTACTTTGTCCATTTTTTTTTAGTCTTTTTGGGGTAAATTCTTGTGATAAAAGCCAAACTAAGTGTTCAGTGTTGGACAGCAATAAAAGAGGAAACGTGTCTGTAGCTCTGATGGAGACGCTGCTGCTCTCTGTTTTATTTTAGGTTGACTGAAGGTTGATTCGAGGTTATTAAACCCTGTTTGTTGTGTCTCAGTGGCTCCAGAGTTCCTGGTTCCTCTGTCCGACGTGGTCTGTGCGTTTGGGGAGACGGTGGTTCTCTGCTGTAAGGTCTGCGGTCGACCCAAACCCTCGGTGACCCTGAAGGGTCCGGACCAGAACCCGGTGACCAGCAACAGCCGCTTCACCATCGACATCAGGTAAACCCACCTGTCCATCACCACCATCGTCTTCCTCCTCCTGCCCGTCCTCCAGCTTCACCTCTTGCCTCCCTCCAGGGACACCGGCGACATCCTGCTGAAGGTCTGTAACCTGATGCCCCAGGACACGGGGATCTACACCTGCGTCGCCGTCAACGACCACGGCTCCGCCTCCTCCTCCGCCTCCATCAAAGTTCAAGGTGAGCTCCACCTTCATCTGCAGCGTGAAGTCACGACAACATGAAGGAGGAGCCGTCTGTCAGCAGGACGATGGAAACCACAGAAAAGTTCCATTTGTTTATTTGTTGTGCAGAAATCAAAGCTGGAGGCTCCACGTACTGCACATGTTGAACTATTTACTTTTCTGAAAACCTCCACGAACTCTGAGACACTTTTGTGCCTTTTGAAGCAGTTTTGGTCATTTTGATTCTCATAGTTGTTGTTTTATGTCGTTTTGTGTCCAAAATGAACAAAAATATAAAAATAATGACCTGAATGTGTCTGAAGTCGCTCAAAGTGTCTTAATTTGTTTGTTTTGTTTCTTTGGGACAGTTCATGTGTTGTTTACTTTCTCATTGTTCTTTTTATTTTTTGCCATTTCTGGATCGCTTTGATTGTTTAGTGTCTTGTTTTGGTTGTTTTTCATTTTCATTTCATCTAATTTTTTTGTCTCTTTTGTGGTAGTTTAGGCCTCATTAGCCGTGTTATCACTGAACAGCAGTTAAATACTTTATTTCATAGATTTATAATAAATCACAAAACATTTGTCCAAAAAAAAAAAAAAACCCAAATTGTAAAAAATGCTCCAAAATCACAAAGAAGTCCAAAATGACTGATGATTTGTTCACATTACTTCACAAAAATGTCCAAAAGTGTCCCGATTTCCTCCAAAACAACCAAAATCGTTCATAAAATGACTTAAAATGAGTCAAACTTTGTCTAAAATCACAAAGAAAAGCTCCAGAATGATCTGATGCTCCTGTTTTAATGCAGTTTGTTGCTCTTCATACAAATTGTTTTGGCTGAATGTAGGAATAAAATGATTTGAATGAACTGCCTCTATCTGATCTTCAGGTCTGTGAACGTTCCCAACAGAACCTCACATGACGCATTCAGGGACCGTTGGAAATCCAAACATCTGTTTTGTTTCTGTCCTGATACTTGGTGACATTTTGGAGATTTTTTTTAAACAAAACAGCTTTTGTTTGGTAGTGATGTGCTGATTCTGTGTGCAGGTATCCCAGCAGCCCCGGGCCGGCCGGTGGCCCAGGAGGCCAGCGGCACGGCGGTGATGGTCCACTGGCCGCCGCCGGCTTCATCGGCTCACAGCGCCGTCAGCAGCTACACCGTGGAGTACCGGCAGGAAGGTCGGTGTGCTTCCATTAAAACTCTCTGATGCTGTTGAACTTCCTCGTCTGACTCCGCCCCTCTGACCC